CCGCCCGCCCCGGCTGCAGCATCCCTGCATCAGCGTTTCCCTCCCGCCGCCGCTGCTAGAAGGTGCCAGGCCTGGCCCCCCACTTTGAAACCCAGTGCTTTGAAAAATAAAGGCTCGAGAAAGTTAATTTGCCCCGTTTCGCTGCCCTGCTCTTCCAACTAAATGTGCTTTATTTCCAGAAAAGCCCGGAGAAAAGCTCGGTCCTCCTTCCAGCTGTTTGCAGCTGCATCACCACCACTGGAAACATTGAAACCCGGGCAGCAAACTCCACAAAAATTAAGATGTCGGGATTTTTTCCTTCCTATGTTTTCCCCTCTTTATTTCCCCTGCAGCTTACGGATGACAACTTGGGGGAAAACCCGGTGCTGAAGCGGCCGGGCAGGGTGCGGTGCCTCCCCGGGCTGCTCTCCCCATCCCAACCTCCAGCTCGGGTGCCTGCCAAAACCCTCCACTTTTCACCTTCCCATCTACCCAATTCCTTCTCTTTTCATCCCTCGACTCCATGCCGAGGATGCCGCCCTTACCCGTGCCGCGCCGGCAGTGGTTCTTCCCGTCTGCGCCCGCCGGGCTCCACTCACATCGGACTTTTCCCAGCGGATAAAGCTTCGATAAGCGGAGTCAACGTCACTCGTACCCCTCCTGCGCTGGGAGGGATAAACCGGCTTCAATGGGCTGGAAAACACGGGGCCGGCGGCTTTGGGGAGAAAGGAACGCGTGGCTGGGGTGAACCTTGGGGATGCAGAGGGCTCTGCCTCGGGGAGGTGAAAAAACCTGCATCTATCAGGTTTACAAAATCCATGTGTTTCAAACAAGGATAAGCCATGCAGAGGTTTTCATCGAGAGGTGAGTTTTACCTTCTGGAAGGGAAATACCCAGAGGATGGAGCCCGCCGACCCTGATGCCTGGGGATAAATAGTCTCTAAGGGCTGGATAAACCCTACAACAGCCCCCAAAATACTCCAGCAATTTAAGTGTGAGTCTCCAAAACTGCTGGGCAGGAGCATTTCTCCTTGGGAAACTTCACCGCCGGGATTCAAGCAGGTTTTGCTCTTCTCCCTCATCGCTCCTGGCCCGCGCAGAGCCCATTTCAGTAGCATTTCTACCTGCAAAGTGCTTTATTTTGACCAAACCAGGCTCCAATTCAGGAGTTTTCATTCTGTATTAAGTTGCTACATATTTTGTTTTCTTGTTAATCAACAAAGCAATGCCACAGTCATCCTCCAAATCCATCAAAGGCTGTTCTTGCTGTACAATACATTCCCTAACGCGTGTTAAAGGTGGAAAAGGTACCATCAACATTTAAAAAATTACAAAGAGAAATCGCAAAAAAACTCAAGGGAGGGAGAAAGTCAGAGTATTAGTTCACATCGAGGTATAAAATTGATATTGCTGGTTAGCCCGTGAGAAAAGAGGTTTTTCCAGGTGTAATGGTGGGAAAGGAGCCAGTCCCCAAACGGGGACCGTGCGCTGGCACTGCCGCAAAACCAACGAGAAAAATAAAGCCTTTTTTATTTCAGCCTCTCCCTCCTCCCGCCACCGCTCCCCGCTTTCCGCACGGCATCCCGCGAAGGATGCCCGGCACCCATCGGCTCTTCCCGCCAGCGCTACGCGGCGCGGCACAGCCACCACAGAGGTTCGGCATCGCGGGGCGTTTCCAAATCCCTAACATTAGTGCAAATCCGAAATGGGGGAAGGAGGGAGTTACACGACTGGATGCAGGTTAAGGGAACGTGCCGGGGAAAAGGGATTTACTCCTTCGCTGTAAATCCAACCGTCAGTCCCCAGGTTTGCTTTCGGCAGCAAAAGTGTTAAAAACGCGACTGGATGCAGGTTAAGGGAACGTGCCGGGGAAAAGGGGATTTACTCCTTCGCTGTAAATCCAACCGTTGGTCCCCAGGTTTGCTTTCGGCAGCAAAAGTGTTAAAAAAACCCAATTCCCAGCAGATCCTTATCGGTTTACAAAAGCTTCCCGTTGCCTGCCAATTATTGCAATAGAAATGTGCTTTTTTTTAAAAAAAAAAAAGAGGAATTCTTTGTGCTCTCTTGCCACCGGGCAGCAGGTTCTCCGCTGGGAGCCACGTGCGGGCACTGCTGAAGCATCTTCGAACCGAACCCAAATCCTTGCTCTTGAACGCTTGCAGCCCTCGCTTGGGCCCATCCTCAGCGGCTTCGCCCTCCTCATGGATATCCTCTTTTATTTCCCTCCCTGTTATTTCCAGGGATTTGAGATTTTGGCCAAAGCTGCCACCAGCCAGAGCCTTGCTGGGAAAACCCCCGTCTGCAGAGGAGGAACTCCCCGAGGATGCTGCGCGGGAGGATGGCTTGGCGCCGAGCCGGAGGGATCCCAGCAGACTCCAGGAGCGCTCCAGGACTGACGGGGGTTTGGGATTCGGTACAGTACGTCCTGTGGGCAAACGGCTCTTCGTGTGATGTGACCCGGAGCCGTGGCGCCGGCGAAAGGTTTCACATCGCTGTCGGACCTTCGGAAATCTCCTCCAGCCTTTGCTCGATCATCAGCCGGAGGACGGAGTATCTGGAGAGGTGAAGGATGAGGGAAAAGAGGATTTTTGCAGCCTCAAGATGGGCTTTTAACCCAAATTGCCATGAAAACCCTGGAGTAATGCAAACCCCAACAGCTCACGCATGCATCAGGGATGCAAGGCTGTGCCAGTGAATTTTCAGCACGGAAATAACCCCCCGACAACGTCCGCAACTCCCAGCATCTCCCCTCGATGCCACCGAGCCCAGCGTACTTGCGCATTAGCTTCTTCACTTCACGATCCTCCTCTTCCTCCAGCTTCTGGATGAAGCTCCTGAGGACAGGCATCTCGAATTTGATGTACTGAGCAACCTGGGTGGGAGAGACACACCGAGTCGGGGGGTGAAGACGCACCAACCCGGCAAGGCTGAAGGCGACCTCATGGCATCCTCTGCCCTGATCGAACTGGGGAAATCAAGGACCCCCCTGACTTTTGCAACAAGCCCTAAAAGAAAGCACATTCCCTCTCAGCTGCTAGCTAATTATTGGGAAAAAATCCACCTAAGCTTTATTTTATTTTACCCTCTAATTATTGGGAAAAAATCCACCTAAGCTTTACTTTATTTTACCCTCTGGCTCAAGACTTGGCTCAGAGAGCCCTGCACATCCCCAACGTGCCACTGAGTGCAGTTTAATCCCAAATACACCCCAAAAGCGCCTCATCTGTGCTCTGATTTCGGAGGAGGGAGCCAGCAGATGGCATAAACGAGCCGTTCCCCTCCGGCAGCGCTTTCCCAGCTGGAAAAGATGCCAATTCTGCCAAAAGGCTGTGCAGAAATTGCCCTTGAGTGATCAGATTTGGGATGGCAAAGTAGGGCTGGGGGCCGTTTGCTCTCGGTTGTGGTTTGCAGCTGCTCTTTAAGGACAGAACAAGGTTTTTCCTGCAAGATGGGGACTTTTCATGAGGAGACACAGGGGCAAATCAAAGCAATTCCTTAATCCCCAGTTTTCCCTTCCTGGCTGCATCCCGAGCCCATCCAAAAGCGACGAGCATCCCGTGCCGGCAAACTCACGTCATAGGTGACTTCTTCCACCTGGTCCTTCTCCATGAGGAAGACCTTGGAGACCTGCTCGCAGGGACCCTGCAGAATTCGGGCGATCAGGGGGTAATCGCTAGCTCGCAGCTTCTGCTTCTCTGCAAGGCCAAAAGCACCGGCGTTCGGCCCAGCAGACCACGGGGCTTTGCCGCGGCCGACCCGTCGGCTGTGCCGGGAGGGGTTTTTGGCAGACTCACCTCCGCTGGTGTGGACAATGTAGAGGGCAAACTCCTCCGCTGAGTTTTCAATCTAAACAGAGACATAAACCACTATTAAAGGGCTGTGTTTCTATCCGAGATTTTCCCCCCAGTTAAAAAAAATCCCCTTATTTCACTCTGCCATCACATTTTATATCCACGGGTTGTAAATTTTTACATCCATGGGCTATAAATCCCCCTCGCGGAGCAAGCCAGGGGCTCAGGGCAGGGGATAGCTAACGTACCTTGAATTTATTGAGCAGCAGCTTGAGGACCTGAGGGGTCGTCATCGTGCTGTTTATCCGCACGTTGGTGACGGAGCCGTACGCCGGCGTGAACACGGACGTCTATGGGGCACAAAGTCCATTTAAACCCCTCCCGGGACGTCCCCACCGGTCCATGGGGAGAGGTTTTGGGGGGGCGGTGAGGTTGGGGGCTCACCTTATGGTTGTAGAAGTGGCCGTTGATGGAGAAGCGGTGACGGCGGATGCGCCGCTGCTCGCTGGGAGTGCGGGCGCTGCCCCGGCGCCGTACGCCCACGTCGCTCCGCGTCCTCATCAGCTGCGGCGTCTCCTCCGGCTGCGACTTGGCAGCTGGAAAAGACCCCGTGGGAGGATGGGGCTGTGGGTTGGGGACAAGCGAGAACCCCCCCACAGGGTCCTACCCTGCATCTCCCCGCTGCAAGAGCTGCTGGGAGAACCCAAGGATGCGAAAGTCCCCATCCCAGAAATTCAGCCCTACAAACTTCCCGGGACATACTTAACCCACCAGTTTAAACCATGACAGCTACTGGCTTATTCTCTCCCAGCTCCTGAAGAAGGCTATTAATTCAGAATTAATTGTGTAAATCCAGGCTGCTACCTGGATAAGGCCTCTTCTCCTGGATAAAATCTCTCCTTCTCCCAGGGACTTGAGCATCTTTACTCGCTTTTTCATAATTTCACTTTTTTTTTTTTTCTCCTTTCCATTAATGAGAACAGGAAAATGAGGCCAGCGCTTCAGATCTCTGCGTGAAAACTGGCCTGGATCCAGATTATTATAAACCAGCTCTTCATCCATTTTTAATGAACCTCTCGGGCTCGAGCTTGGATGTTTTAATTCAAAGCATGTCTGCAGCAAGAAAAATCTCTGGCACACGCGGCTCCAGATGCACGCCATGGGCCACGGTGACTAAGCACTCACGAGGAGCCGTGCACGCACGCTATGCGCTGATTTTTTATGGGCTTTTGGAGAAAAATATAATAAAAGACTTCTTTTTGGGTGCTGGCAGAGGTTTAACATCACACGGCTCCAGTAGCTGCTGGGTTAATTCTACAGTGCCATGCGCTGCAGATATTGCCTGGGCAAGCTTTAATTAGGGGGGGGAAAAAGCAAGTGTCATGTGTGGGGAGATCAAAAAGAGAAAGGGGGAAAGCTGGAGGATCAAGGATGGGGCCATGGGTTTCATGGATCAATGAGTTTTGCAAGCGGTCAGCTCCTCCCTGAGCCAGGAAGTGGATGAGCATCCCGAAGACGAAAGGATTAGCTGGTTCTTCTCTGCCTCCGGGGTGTATTTCCATAAAAACATCAAAAAAACACCACCCAAAAAAGCCAGGAATATCTGCAAAATGCCCCGAGTGAGTAAGAAAAATGCATAAAGCAGGTTTTTCCAGTGGGAATCGCTGCTGGGACAGCTCGTGTCCCCATTCATCGCTGCCTCCTGCTCAAAACAAGGGGTTAACGAGGCGTTGGACGAGCTCTTCCCCCTCTCCAAGAGGAAAAACCAGGGAGGGGGAAAAAACCCTTTGCAGAAATGTTGACTTCCCCATGGTAACGGCACCTCCCAACGGCGCCCATTCTTCTTCCCTAAAAGCGGAGCCGCCGGGAAGGGGAAGCGCCGACATCCTTTTCCCTACGATCCCACGAGGCTCTTTGCTCCATCCCCTTATTTCTTCCCACCGTGGCCCTTTCCCTGAGCAAAATCCCTTCGGAGGGGTTTCGGGCCATCGGGGCTAAGATTTTCACGCTGCCATTAAATAAATGAAAAAGAGGCACTTTGGAAACGGCTCTAAGTAACTCGGAGCGAGATGGGGACAGCGATTTCTAGAGGGAAAAAAGGCCTGTTTTCTCTTTTCTCAAGTAAAACCGGAGCGTAAGGCAGCTGCTCCCAACCGCCCAGCCAAACCCAACCGGATCCAAGCCCGGCTCACCTGCACCGCTCCCGGGAGCCTCCGTGTTCGGCGTGGCCTCCGTATCCGTGACCTGGATGTCTGGCAAGGTGCTGGGCTTCAGCACAGACCTGGCAATAAAAAACAGGGAAGCCTATTGTCATGCAGCTCCAGAGGGAGCAATAACCAGGATCATTTCCCCCCCAAGTTGTTATTTCCAGGACGGGCAGCAGCCCGCTCTCCCTGCGGATTTGGCAGATAACCATCCCTGTAGGGTCGCAGCACAAGGCTATTTGCACTCTAAACCCTGAATCCCATCCTGTCCCACTCCCAAAATGCCTCTGGAGGGTCTTATCCCAGCCGCCTTCTTCCCAGGAAGGGATGCTGAAGCCTGAAACGACTTTCGTGCAAGCGCCAGCACAAACCTGCGCGCGCAGAGCTCAACCTGCCCCCTTTTCCCCTTTGCAGCACCTTCAAAACCAGGCAGGAACCAGGCAGCCCCCAAGCCAGGACAATCCATGGACTTGCTGCTCCCGGGTACTTGAGGACGGGCAGCCCAGGGGTTTGCCGGAGGCAGGTGGGAACTGGCCATCCCAGGGGAATTACCCCGGGAGCAACATCCAGCATGAAACCGGTATGGAAGTTAACCCCAGGGCGGCTTTGGCAGGAGCTTGTTGCAGGTCTGGTCTGGGGGGTGGTTTGCCAAAGGAAGGGGGTTGCAAAAAGGGGGGCTCTTTGCGAAAGGGGGGCCTTCGCAGGGTGAAACCAAGCTGCTTTATTTCACACTTGGCTTCTTCAGGGTGTTGGGGGAAAAAAAAGGGATCCAGACAAGGTAACTGGGGCTGCAACCCTGCAAACGCCGCCTTGGCTGGGGGGGTTAAAGCTGCTTTTCCCTCCCCTCACCCGTGGGCTCCCAGGTTGCAGCCGGAGTGCCAGGAGGATGAGGAGGGCGGGGGGCGGATGCGCTGGTTGTCGTCCTGCATCTGCAGACGGATGGGTCGCCGCAAGCCCCAGGAGATGTTCAGCAGCCCCTCCACGACCAGCTCGCCTTCCTCCTGCGCGAGAGACGGGCAGCTCAGCGGCCGACACGCGCGAACACGGTGGGGGTCGCCGAGGGGCGCGGGGCGCACCCTCCGATCCGAAGGGAACCCCATTCCCTTGGGCTTTCTCTCCATTGGGTGCTGGCCCCGGGGGTTTTCTTACCTCCCGGTGTCGCAGCTGCAAATTCTGCCCTTCGTAGTAGATGTTGTACGTCTTCAAGTGTAAAAGCAGCTCATTCCTGGGAAAAACACGGGGAAGATGCTGAGAAGAGCTGGGGAGGAGCGAGGGGGGATGTTGCAGGTGCCACTTGGTATCCGGTGTGGTACCCCCTGCGCCAGCCAGGGGCAAATTTTGGGCAACTGGGAGAAAGCAAGAATTTCTTCCCTGGGCAATGAACCTGCTGTGCTGCTGGGGGACCTGAAACAGCTTAATTTGGGACAAATCTGGGTCTTTTGCTGCCTAGAGACCTCCCTTGTTGAAGAAATCTGCTGTAGGTTCAACCCTTTGCAACCACAAGTAGGGGACAAGCTCCCCCGCAACCATGACCTCCATAAACCTTGCAGAAAGATGTAAGAAAACCCATCAGACGTTGGTCACATGGCTGAAAAACAAGGAAATTTGTGGAGCGCCCAAGCCTTTGGGTCATGCTGGAATCACAAGTTACCACAGGCGAGTTTATCGCGTCGGCTCATCGCTCCAGACCCCGACCTTGAGCTCAAATTAAAAGTCTGAGCCCTGCTCCGGTTGCAAATAAAAATAAAATAAAACCAAATAAATTAAAAAAATAACCAGCCCAGGAAGTCTGAGCCCAGCTATGAATCACGGGGAAGCAATTAATTCATAAAGCTGTCATTAATTCAGCTGGCTGGCTGATGGAGTTTAAGGATGTTCAGCACCATCTGACTAGCCTAAAGAAGCACAGATCACGGGGATTTGGGGTTATGCGAAAGAAAAAAGGGAGAGAAAAAATACCACATATATGCTTTCTCTCCCCCCAAATCTTCCTTGAAACTTAGGAATCATTTTACCTCTTTCCCAAGCATAAAAGACCAATATCTAATCGGGACCTTTCTCAAGCAAAACCTGTACTTCATGCAATTTCATAGAGCATTTGGCCATGCTCCTGAGAAAAAATGCCAACATCACATCAACAACCTTTTTTTTTTTAAAGAAAAATGCCATTTCTTGCCCCAGAACGGCTTCATCTTTCCAAAACCAACCGAACCAAGTTAAAACCCAGGGACACTCCGCTCCTCCCAGCACAAAGGCTGGGAATACTGCAAACAACTCCCCAGCCACCAGCACCGCCCGTATTCCTGCATTCCCGCCCCGCCGAGCACCTTACTTGGAGATGTATTTGTCTTTTCCGCAGGGGACCAGGTACTCGCAGCTGCCGTAATCCATCCTCCCGCTCTCCTTTCATGGGAGCTGAATGGCAAAGAGGGAGGAAAGAAAAGCATCAGTGTGAACCGCCCTGTTATCCCGTCCCCGCTACACACCCATGGATAAAGGGGAGGAAACTTGCTTGGATTTGGAAGAGCTGTTGGGAAAAGACTCCAGCGGATGCAGCTGGAGGTAAAGTTGGATGAGGTTCCTCCAGGAAAACTGGTGGAGAGGGAGGGGAAATCAGATAAGGGGAGAAGCGTTGTGCACCCACTGAAAATTTAATACCGGCAGAGATACGCTTACGCTGACATTTGCATTTCCAGCATCCACGGACCGCCCCAGCGATGCCAGGCTGGGAGGTGGGAGGGTTATAGCCAGGATTTGCCCCTTTTCTCCATGTATTTTCCTACAAAGCTGCGGACACGCAGGTCTGGAACCGGCTCGGTGCTTCCTCGTGAAAGCAGGCAGCGGGCACGAGGGCCGACTTTCGCAAGCAGCAAGAGCCGCTGGGCTGGTTCCGTTATTATTTTTTGATGATGCCGGCTGCGTTTTTCTCCGTTCCTTCCAGTGCCAAAACATCCCCATCGCTCTCGTGCAAACGCTTGGCAACTCCCCCAGAACTCCCACCCGGGAGTGGCCCTGGCTTAGAGCGCGAGTGTGATTTTTGGATGCTACGAAGTGGAATTAAGACGAGAGTTTAGAGTGAAGCCCTCAGGATCAGTCACGGGCTCGGAGCACTTCGGAAATCAGACCTTGAAGTGCAGTGTCAGGGTGGCTTTGGGCATTGAGAAAAGGCTCCTTGGGTCACCCTTTTGCTCGAGTTTGCTCAAACCCTCCTACAGCCCGGCTTTCGTTTTCCAGGGTTTCTCCCCTCCCTCCCCTTGTCCAGAAGGAGAAAACAAGGTGAGAAAAGAGCATTGTATCCACAAACTGCTGTTTTCTTCTACCTCCCTCATCGCCATGTGCTTCCTCCCCATCCCCTGAGAAACAAACCCATTTTCCTGCCAAAAAAAACCCCTCGCAATGACATCCAGGCGGATAAATGACTCAACCAAGGCCGTGCGGTAAAACCTGTGTCGGAGAATGGACCTACCCCCTAAAACCTCAGCAGAGCAGCAATTCCCGCTTCTCACCCCATGCATCGGGGTATATTCTAGCAAATATATTCCATGTGACAGCAGAAATGCTCTGCATCGTGCGTCAAACCGCAGAGGAGGTTGCAAAAGCAAAGCTGGTGTTTGCAGGCAGAAACAGGCAGGGGAAGGGCAGGAAGCCGCCTCAGTCCCTGGGGCTCCAGCTCTGCCCGGAGAAAGCAGAAGAGAAACCCGGCACCGAAAATCACACGTCGCAGTGGAAAAAGCTGATAAAGCTTCTGGTTTCCTGACGCGCTGAGGAGCCGCGCGAGCATCCCGGCAAAGCCCAGCACCAACCCTCCTCCCGCGCTGGCAGCCGCCTCTCCTGCATCCATTCACCCTTCCACAGGGAATAAACCCAATAATAATCCTATTTATCCCTCAACAATCCCGGGGAGGGATTTTGTCGCTGGCTTTGTGGCTTTGGGGTCAATGTCGGCACAGCGGCTGCATGGCACCTGCCTCGGCGGGGACCCGAATTTGGGGGGTTACCAGCTGCGAGATGCAGGGACGGTAGAAATGAGCATCTCACTTGTGGGTGTCCCCTGAAAGCAGATGAAAAAGCTCCGGGGAAGTCACTCCGCTGCACAGAGGGAGGATGAAACGACACGGTCGCTTGGCCCATGCAAAAATGTCGCCAAAAATACCAAAGCAGCTGAAAAAATAAGCCCCCTCTGACAGCTCAGCCCAGGGTGGGGCCTTGTGGGTCGCAGGGAGGTTTGCTCCCCGGCATCGTGGTGACACGCAGGGGTGAAGCCAAAGCCCTGATTCCCTCGAAGGGGACGTCGGGGTGAGCTCCAGCTGGAAAACGACTCATTTGGGGATGGAAGGGGAACCCTGCACCAAGGAGCAGTTTCCTGTTTACCGCCCTGACGCTGCCACCTTCGCCTCTGTCATCACATCCCCTTCCGAGTGAGCAAGGAAAGGGGCAAATTAAATTCTTCCTTTTTTGGGTGTCGAGAGCACCGGGCTGCGGGTGGAAGGGAGCGGCAGCTGCCGGAGATCCCCAAACGGAGAGCAGCTGCCCCCACCCCCTCGATCTTCTGCCATGGCTTTGGCTAAAGGAAATCGCCAAACTGAATCAGTTGCTCAACCTCAGCGGCTCGGTGCCGTCTTCATTTCCCGTCACTCCCCGTGCCTCAGTTTCCCCACTCCGAGGCAGGGTATTTTCTTCGTGCCTGGCACGGGCTGAGGTTTCGCTGTTGTCTTGCAAAGCTTCCCTAAAGAAAGGTCGGACGAAATCTATTCCCCCTGCACACGTGGCAGGAGGATCTCGGCCACCTCAGCCTTCCAAGACAAGCTCT